AAACCTTCGTAATCACTTTGTGAAGTTTGCGTCAACAGCATCCGGTTCCGGTCGAACTCTGTTCCAGGGCTCATTATGAACCATCCCATCTTCGTCAGCTCCGCGACTGGGCCACCTTCCTTTCTCACACAAAGTTTCGTCTCGGTCTTGATGCGTGCGTATTCGCCACTTCCAAAGATAACATGCACAGGAAGTTGACTCTTGGTGTCTTTGTCTGCGATTATCACCTCAGACAGATGGGCGTTGTCTCGTATGAGGTCAGCGTAATTTGGGTTTTCAATAGTGAGAAGTTCTGGTTTATTCACTTTGATGAACTTCACTGGCATTTGGTACTGTCCGTCAACGGATTCAGTGTTCAATTCGTATATGTCCATGCGTACACTCTTCGAGGACATAAGCATTTCAACTTGCCTTGTTTGTGTCGAAATAGGTTTCGCTTTCACTACTTCTATGAGTTTCGCTGAAATATATGAGCTCCCAGATCCTGTATCGATTAACGCTCTACACTTGACTCCGTTCACCTTGATAACAATAACTGGCAACACGCTTTCGCTCGACTGGTTTGTAGTCATAACTTGCTCCTTTCCTTCGACTTTTGCTGTATCACAGATGGAAGTGTGGTGTCGTTTTCCACAATTTTGACAGGATCCCTTGCTGGAACACTCAGCTGCACGATGGGTTCCAATCGCACAATTGAAGCATAATCGTTTTCTTGCTAGAATTTGTTTCCGTTCTGTCACACTAGTAATCTTGGTGCAGTTCCCTGCTTTATGAGTTACGTCACCGCAATAAACGCATTCACGTGACTTCGCATGAAAGGATTTGATTTGTCGATCTTTATCTCGATCTGTACGACTTTGGTCCACGGGGTTCCTCTTGACCCACTGGCGAACTGCCTCTGATAACTGGACAAAGGTCCACCTCTCCCAGTCAGGGTCTGTTCGAACAAGATCCCCCCTAATTCCGGGGAGTTTGTCCAACGTCATCGCGACGTTGCCGTTAACCTGACTCAGTCTGTTCATTGTTTGCAGCGCTTGCACACAATGGTTAAGACGCTCACTAAAATCTCGAATTTTCTTGGGGTTTGCACCGTGAATATATGGCAAATCCATTATATCCTTGACATGCGACTTAATAATTTCCGATTCTTTCCCATAGCGATCTTTCAGGATAGATTTTGCCCTGTTGTAGCCCTCTGTAGTGAAGGGTAATGAATCAATAACATGCTTTATCTTGGGGTCAAGCAACTCACAGAGGTAGGTAAATTTCGTGATGGGGGGCATATTAGTTTTTTCGACTGTTTCTGTGAACTGTCCCCAGAACCTTTGCCAATCTTGAAAATCTCCACCAAATTTTGAAATAACTAACTTCGGTAGTTTAGCTAATGTACTTTGTTGCGACTCACCTTGCCAATTCCCCTCTTTATTTATTGTCAGTGTTTCCACTTTCGCACTTGCTAACTTCGTCTCGAATTCCATTCTTGTTTTGAAAAGCATTGTTTCAAATTGAATTTGTTCTTCTCTCGCTACGTTATCCTTCTCCTTTCGACGCTGATCAAGCCATGTTCTCAGTTCTTCGACGACTTTATCCGACTCCGCTAGTTTATTGTCGATTTCCGTGTTCCAAGTTGTAATTTCCGTAATGTCTGTCTCGGCTTGTATTTTAATCTCTTCGACAGCTACTCGATTTCGTTTATGCTATTTGTTATAGATTTGATAGTAGCACAATGTCTCTCGATTGCATCTTGTTGATTCGATTCGACAATCGTACCTGTTCGATCTACAGTAAGCTTTAATTGTTTCAACTTCGTATCCAATTTCTTCGCTTCCATGTTTCCACTTTATAATCTCGCTTAAAATCTCGCTTAAAATCTCGTCGTCGAGGTGCCACTTGTAGAAAATTACTCTCAACAGCCTCCGTAAATAATTTCCCACAAAAATAATAATACTGTAAAGTTTAATACATAATAAATCTCATATAAATCCCGATACTGAGTCACTCGCTTCGACTCCTCACAACAACAACACATGTGCTTCCCGCCAAAATTTCCCCAACCCGATTTTAGGGTGGGTGTTTCCATGCAAGTGTTTCCATCATCTTTTCCAACTTTCTATTTAACAACACTACACCTGTCCTATTGCCCGTGGCCTGATTCCACGAGGCGGAATATTTCGACCGAAACGAAATTTCTCTTTGTCTATTTACAATTAGTTCTGCTCGAGAGCTCATGAAACAAAGAGAAATTTCGATTCGGTCGAAACAATTCGCCTAGTGGAAAACCGCCTTAAGGTCTTATACATTGTATTTTCAAAAAATTCACTTTTTTGAAATATATAAATTTGGGGGCTCCATCATATGCGCTTTCATGCTAGCATTATATTTTTGTCGTATCTGAGTTCCTTAGGGGTAAATTTTGCAATCAAAGTTGCCTAATATTGAAATTGGCCCATAGCAACCACCTTAGCAACCAAATGCTGTGGTTAAATCGATGTTATTGGCTCGTTATTACTGACCAAAATAGTCTACATTTGTACCTGCTTACCCCTCCCATATTACTCTTGTATTTGAAGCCAGTATAACATATCTTAAATGAAGTACAATGTCTATTTTGTCTCGATGTTTTAAATGGAGTTTTTCTTACAACGCCATCTTGTATTGAAAGTTTCAGTGATTTTTTTGGTAACTAATTGTGGTTTACTTCTTTGAAAATGCCTAAGCAACGTTCTGGTTATTCACAGAATCGTAAATTTAGTGGAAATCGGTTCATTGTAAACTCAGAAGTTTGAAAACGAGCGAAACATCCACCGCCAGTACGAGCGATCAAATGTGTCTGAATCAAGATCAGAAGACCAAGCCGCACCACATGTATGTCAGACATTTCAGCTTCGGCTGGAGCAACTGGTTTACTTGATAAAGCAAGTGCTCTTTCAGTCGATTGGTTATAGAATTATTGATGTTAATATTTTGGGGAATATCGTTAAATCCATGCCATGGTATGTTAATTTGGAGTTCCAGTGAGAACTTGTTGAAGATGATACCAAGCGGATGGGTTGTGCTTCGTGTCTTTTTCTTAACTGTAGCTTGTGTGGACACTCTGAAGCGTTCTATACTTCAAAAAAACTTGGTCATTGTTTTGGAGTAAACAGGAGAATGATTTATGGAATGAGGTCTACTGGCTGTGACTTATCTGGTATGCAAAGATTCTGCACAACAATGGACATGCCGAACCCATTACCCCGAGGGCTTATAGTTACCGCACAAATGCCATCTTGCATGCTACCAAAGAAGTAGCTGAATCAACCATGAAACATGCTGTTGGCAAACTCCACAATTTGAAAAGTAATAATGTGGTGAGAATCATGTGACGGTACCTGGCAAAGAAGGGGATTCTCTTCGTTACATGGTTGTGTTTCCGGTAATCTCCATGGAAACTGCTAAAATTTTAGATGTGGAGCCTCTCAGTAAAGTGTGTCACAGCTGTATGAAGTTTGAGGCAAAGATGACTTAGAGACTGAAGAAATGAAAGCAGAACATGCCTTAAAGTGTAAAAAAAACTATATTGGATCAGCACCAGCTATTGAGCCGGAAGGACCAAAGCGTATATTTGAGCACTCAGTAAGTTCACGTAAACGTCAATGTGATGAACTGTTTGGTGATGGAGACAGCAAGAGCTTTAGTGTAGTTGAAAACATGCAGTTTGCTCATTTTAAACTTTCCAGATGCCTATTATATATAGCCTTTAAATTAGGTTTGTTTATCGAGAAAATATCTACAAATATTTTAAACTTAATTTTCTCAAATTGTCAACTCACGAGCTGGCAAAAACTCTCCTGAGTTTGATATTTATCCAATCAAGGTGAAATTTTCAGCATTTACTCATTACTACTAAATCTGTGATGTGAACCTAAAAAATACCATGTGTGAGTTATACTCACCACAGGGTAACCCTATTATTGAACTCCGCACCCCCATATTTTCATTCATCTAGAAAGAAGCGTAAAATTTATACACTTTATGCCTCCAGCTAAGTATTTTTTTAGGTTCACATCATAGATAGGTCTATTTTGTATTAATTAAAGCTGTTTGGGAGATCATGGGTAGTTTACTTTGACTCCTATCATTTTTGGCGCAAACGCCATATTTTACCCTATAGGGGGTCCTATCTTGGTTACCATGGCAACAACAAATGTATAAGTGAGTGATTTTGAGTCAGCCACCAATATTCTATAATATTTGAATAAAAAATGAGGAAAAAGTATTAAATTAGGAAAAAAAGTTTTCAATGTATAAGACCACCCAGGAGTAGGCTGTCCAACTTTTTCGCGGCGAATTTTTTCGCTGACCAATCACATTGCCGAAATTTTTTTTTCGCTTCGCGCGAACAAATTCGCCCAAAAACGGGCTTAAATAATAAATCGATATACCTTCTCTTGTTTCGTGATGTAAATCACGTTCAGTCAAGCACACGAAATCACTTAAGCCCTTAAATCTTCAGTTACAACGTCACAACTTACAAGTAAAATTCCTATAAAATTCCATCAGTAAAATTCATGACTCGCTCATATGGTTACCACTTACCATCAGGAATGATTATAAAGTTAAAAAATATGAAATATATTTCCTGACGATGACTGAATTTTAGTCGAAAGCTACAATATTAAAAGGTTTATTAAAATACTTAGTGGTTCCCGTAATTTTTACTGGTTACGTATGATGTCATTGACGTACGTCAACGAATATTTTCACGATTTCATGTTTGTCAATAGAGCCCCCCCGGTAAATTTAGTTCCAGCACTGCTGCAAAGCCTTGCAAAGTCTCTATTGCACTATTCGTCGACTATTCGTACTATTCGTCGCCTATTCGCGGACTATTCGTACTATTCGTCGACTATTCGCGGACTATTCGTACTATTCGTCGACTTTTCGCGGACTATTCGTACTATTCGTCGACTATTCGCGGACTATTCGTCGACTATTCGCACTATTCGCTTCACTATTCTAGTTTTATCAATTGCCGATAGGGAGATAGGGACTCAGCCTAACAATCGGTTTTATACAATCAGAAATAAAGATAATATTCGACCCAAATTCTGATAGCGATAATCGATAAATCACTAAGATTGGATGATGATGATACAGATTATAACTAGTACTGCTGTGGTATAGGGACTCAGGAGGTCTACCCTGGTTGCCAGAGGTTCTCTATCTTTCGCCTTATTCCCGGTCGTATTTATTTTACGCGAGGCGAAGAGAACCTCTGGTGGCACGCGATACAAATCTCTCTTCCGTGCTGACGTTGCTGTTTGAGAACTTGCAAAACCGGTTTTATATTTTGTGGCGTTTTTAAACTTCCGGGTTTGTCATACTACCAAAATAGCTCTCTTCAGACTGTTTGGCAGCCTTGTATAAAATATTTAAAATAACTGAGCAGGCCAAACATGTAGATTATTTATTAGAAACATGTAGACTATTCTCGCAACGCACAAAGCAAAAAACAACCTTACTGATTGTGGATTGCCGTTTGTATTAGCGAACGTATAAAGTCAAAAGTGAAAGAATATAAACATATAAATATTTATACATATGTGTGCAACGGAGCCAGTATGGTTGTCCTTATAAACAGACAACGGAAAAATATTGGCAAAATAAACCATATTAATAACTATTAAAGTCAAAGAATTACCAAAATTTAAAACCTTGAACGATAAGCAAGTGACCAACACTTCATATTTTACAAATATTACTACTGTATAGCTAGAGTGAACATGTCATGCCGTCGACTCTCAAGTCATGCCGCGATGGCAGCTCTTCTCCAGCGCAGAAAATATTTTTATAGCGGAACAAACTCAAATAATCCACACTGAGTAAGCATTTTAAATTTAATACGTTCGTCTTATTTCTGTATTTTGTTTACATCATGTTCTCTGAGATTTATAAACAGGTCTTTTTGTCTAGCCAATCACATCACTTCATGTGACTGCTAATTATAACGAACCAATCATGTGCTTGGTACAAATTTTGTACCAAAGGAAGAGAGATTTGTATCGCGTGCCACCAGAGGTTCTCTTCGCCTCGCGTAAAATAAATACGAGCGGGAATAAGGCGAAAGATACAGAACCTCTGGCAACCAGGGTACAGGAGGTCTGGAACTGGTAATTGTGCGCGTGCGTACAAGTATATGCGCTAATAAAGAAAGATGTACTACAAGAGCCGGCTACTACGTACATAGATACGAGCTTGTTACGATGAAAAGTGAATCAAACAGTCGAGGAATCGATGGCATTTGAATCGATGGCTTAATCGTTGCACCTTGAGCCTGCGATGCGCTCACGCAAACTCCATTTCTCGACGACGAAAACAGAAAACTAGGGATTTAATTACACAACAACGAAAATGATAAAATTATCGTTAGACGATAACGATTTTAAAATCGCTCACCTGAGCGATTTTTTTTTCAGTCGGACGATAACGATAAATTTTTGACCAATCAGCGCGCGTATACAAGTTATCGTATCGTTATCGTTGTGTAGTACAGTTCAATGGTGTAGTGTGACCTAGCCTGCATGGCAGGCGGTACTTAGGAAATACCGCCTGCCGCAAAACTGGGTGTAAATGAACTACCGCCCCTGAAGCATCAACGCTATTTATAGATGCATTAATTAAGTAAATATTCAAAATTAGC